GTGAGAGTGGCCGCAGCATGACAGGCTCTTGTCCTGCAGGCAGGCTCCTTTGGGAATGGAACCATAATCAGAGGCTTTCCGGACGTGGAGTTGGTGGTGTTCCTCAGCGGTTTACAAAGCTTCCAAGAGGAGGCGACGTACCACGACCCTGTTCTGAAATTGATACAGAAAAAACTGAAGTATTGTCAGGACCTGTGGGCCCTCGGGCTGAACAACGCGTGGCTGAGCGAGGATAACAACAAACTCATCTTCATCTTCCAACCCGGGGGAATGCTGGAGCTCCTCACCATCACCGTCGTGCCCGCCTTCAGGGCCCTGGGTAAGGGAGGGGAAACCTACACACATGAGCCGCACTCACCGGCCCGTGCAACAGACACTGACAACTCCCACATCCTTCAGTTGTGCCTTATGCAAATACTTGCATGCATGCGTTCATGCAGGCAGGAATGTCCTGTGCTGGGGGCTGGGTACCCCCGTGCACAGGACCAACCCAGTCATGGCCACCACGGGACTCAACTTGAGAACCCAAATTGTATCAAAGAATCACACAGATAATTGCAAAAGCAGGTTAAGTGCTCATAGGGAAAGAAGGGGAAATGTGCTGGGTAGACCACTTCTGAATAATAGGCCTCAGAAAGGCTACAGAGAAGACATTCAGGAGACATTCAGAGGCAGAGGTGAAGAACTTACAGTGGTCATCACAATTGCTTCTGTAGCTCTTCCTACGGCCTAGGGGCCTCATACATGTTTTGGCTTCTCAAGAAGCCAATTCTGATGCAAGGATTCCAGAAAACACTGGAAAGGAAGTGGGGAGTTGAAAGTGAGAAGAAAAGAAACCAAGAAAAACTGCATGGTAGAGCTGACTAAATAGACTTCATACCTATGGAGAATTTGAGGACACAATGTAGAGTGGCCCTCCTTTAACTTAAGTGAGAGTATTTCTTTTTTTATTTTATTGTAATTTTATTATTTTGTCAACTTGAATCTGACTGGTACAGTAGGAGATTGTCCCTCCTTCTCCAGCAGAGAATCTGGTGGATTCGAACCACGTGCCACTGGGATTTCAGTGCAACTTCTTGCCACTAGGCCACCAGAGCTCTGAGCATTTATTTTTTAAAAAGAGTCTTCATCATGATTTCCATCATTGACTGAGGGCTGCTTTCTAAGGGGCATGAACTGTCATGTGTGCCCTCGGGCAGAGAGCTGCGAGTGTTTTAAGTAAGCAGTTTCTATTATAATCCCAGAGAATATATAGCTTTCACCTCCTCGGCCAGCCCCTATTAGCTATCGTGGCTGCTGAGAGCTGCAGTGGGGAAAAGAGCACCAATTTTAGCAATGAAGAGCACAGGGATGGATTAGTGATGTCTGTCGTGGCAGCGCTGTCTTCCACACGTGCTCTGTGTTACCAGATTTCTTATCCTGTAGGTGTTGGGAGATTAAAATGGTCACAAAGAAAGAGCTCTGAGGCGGGCTCTGGTGGCCTAGTGGCAAGAAGCTGCACTGTAATCTCAGAGGCAAGTGGTTCGAATCCACCCAGATGCTCTGCTGGAGAAGGAGGGACAATCTCCTCCTGTACCAGTCAGATCCGAGTTGACGATACAAACACACAAAAAATAAAAATTTAAAAGAGCTCTGAATAAGATAGTAAAGAAAATTGAAGGTGTTGGGGACCTTAAAAAAAAAAAAAAAGCAAACCAACACAACAAAATACCTCTGTAATTCATTGTTATGGAATCAGAACTAACTCATACCTGATTCTCCAGAGGGTTTTCAGAAGCTGTAAATTGCATGAGAGGAGATAGCTCACCTTTCTCCTGCGGAGCATCTGGACCCCTAGAATGGCACCACCTTTGGGATAGCAATGCAACTTCCTACGAACACAACCAGAGTGTCATCAGACAAAGAATCCTTTCCGCAGCCACAAGTTAGAGACCAGAGCGAATTCCTCTTTCTCATACACTTTATTAACAGATCCGGAAGGCAGTGAGGTCATTCTCCAAGACCGCCCTTCCTTTTCTTTCTCAAGTCACCAGAGGGTTTTATAATACCTTCATCAGTTACTAAATCTACTTGACATGTCATTATTTTGTGTCCAGAGTTTACAAGGCTTCTCCTGTCTGGAGGGGCAATTTGTATCTTTTTAAAGCAAATAGTGCTCATGTGCTGTCATCTGGGGAGGCTAATGAGTCCAAGTCAGCAGCAGCAGCCAGGCAGAAGGCCGACTCTCGGACAAAGCGGCTTCGGAAGCTGCTAGCTTCAGAGCCTAACACGTCGGAAGATCACATACTGCTGGCTTTGGAGGCTAAGGAGTCCAGGGTCAACAGGTTTGGCAAGCCTCTGGTTCAAGGTCACTAGCCAGATGCAGAGCAGATTAAAAGCTCTCTTGCTTTTCCAGAGAGTCTATATATTCCATACAAGCCCAGCTTTTGAGGAGATTCCCCTTATCAGATCAGAGTGGTCATAGCTTCATACAACCACCTCTAATCCTGCATGATTGCCATCCTTTCTTGCACACAGACTAGTTACATTACACTGAAGAACACGGCCAAGCTGACACACGAGATTCACCTCCACCACAGGTGTTTCCCCTTGACCCCTGATTATCGAGTTCCCTAGTCCCAGCCTCCCTCTTGGCTTCCTCTCTCCTCAGGACCTTTGGTTCCCAATGTTCAGCCACCTCCTGATGTCTACGTGAGCCTGATCAAAACCCACGGCGACCCAGGAAGATTCTCTCCAACCTTCAGCGAGCTTCAGAGAAACTTCGTGAAACATCGGCCAACGAAGCTTAAAAGCCTCATGAGGCTGGTAAAGCACTGGTACCTACAGGTGAGGGTTAGAGCTAGCTTGTGAAGGGTCCCCCCCTCCTCCCCGTATACAAACATCAAAATAGAACACTAACTGAGGTAACTAATTCTCTCCTGTTGAGCTTTGGTTAAGCGGTCTTAACTGCTTCTGGAATGAAAAGAGTTTGGTGAAATTTTGCATCGGTTCTTTGGTACAGCATGTTTGTAGGACAGTAACTGTTTGTGGTGGCACAGCAGGCTCGCTGTTGCACTGCTAACCAAAAGATTGGTGGTTCGAATCCACAAGCTGCTCCAGGGGAGAAAAGTGGCAATCTCCTCCTAGAAAGATTTCATCTTGGAAACTCAATGGAGGGTTGCTAAGTTAGAATCTGCCCAGTGGAAGTGGATGTAAGTTTGTCAGTCTTTATTCACTCATTTATTTCCATCAATTTCATATAGTAGGATGGTGAGGAAGAAAGCTAAACTGTACACTACCTGTAGATTAGAGCATACGTAAATTGTTCTTTTGTTAAGAAAAACATTATAAATGGTTCAAGTGCAGTTGATACTCAGAAAAAGAGAGCAGTCCCTTCCCATAAAGGTCTACAGCCTTGGAAACTCAGTGAGTTAGAAGCAACAGCTGTAGACTTGTAAAGATAAAGAGAACTAATTGTTTTAGTATTATAACTTGAATGAAGGATCAAAATTAAACACAGCTCCAAACTCATCAGTCAGTTCAGCCCTCAAGCTTCTAGAAGTCACATGCCCTCCAAAACACACACGAACACACATACGTGAAACATTTTGGTTGGGGTGGTTTTATCCCCCTTCTTCATGGTGGTAAAATACCAGTAGATGCTCCTGGCTTCATGCCATCACACCAGAAAGGACTTCTTGTGTTTCAACTACCTGAACAAAACACTGGTTTTTACTCCAATGGAATCACTTTTTATCACAGTCTTGCCCTTGAGCGAATCACTGGTTTGTAGGGGTGAGTCTGTACCAGGCAGGTGTCACCCTGGAACTGATAGTGGAATGAATCCCAACCAAACAGCCTATGAGAGAGAAAGGGGCATGAAAAGACAGGGTAATAGGAGGCATAGTGTGATGGTGATTAATTTATAAAACATGATGAATGAGAATGATTGTATGAAACACAGTGTATACACACTTTGTAAACAAACCAATATAAAATAAATTTTTTTGGTATTTTTATTTTATTTTATTATTTTTGTGTGCATGTACCGTCAAATCAGGTCTGACTGGTACAGGAGGAGATTGTCCCTCCTTCCCCAGCAGAGCATCTGGTGGATTCGAACCGTGCGCCTGTGGGATTGTAGTTGCAGCTCCTTACCACTAGGCCACCAGAGTTCCCCTAAAATAATTTTTAAAAAAAAAAGAGAGAGAGAAGGAAGGAGGGCCTCCCAGACAGGCTAGCTCTTCATAGAATTTTTGGTGTTAGCTAATGCTGTGGTTCATTTTTCTCCATTTAACTGAAAAGCTCTTTTTTAGAAAGCAAACTTTTCCCAATAATCCAATGCATCCCTAATAGGGAAAATGAAGTTATTTACATGGAAGTTCAGTCCAGATTAATAAAAACAAGAAAATATTTTTATCAAGTAAACATACTGTTTAGACAATATTTTTCCCCTTTTTATTATAATTGGAAAACACAAAAATGAATTTGTGGGTCTGAAGTTTTATATTTATTTTGGGGGTATATGTACAAAAGGAAGAAGAATATATAGATGGACCAATTGAATATGATTTGGGGTGTTGCTTTTAGAAGAAAAGAGAGGTTTAAATACAGAACGAATTTTTTTTAAACTGTTGCAGACCGAAGATAAAGTATTTTTTTAATTTTATTATTTTTGTGTGCATGTACCGTCAAATCAGATCTGACTGGTACAGGAGGAGATTGTCCCTCCTTCCCCGGCAGAGCATCTGGTGGATTCGAACCGTGCGCCTCTGGGGTTGTAGTTGGAAGATAAAGTATTTTTGTAATTATTAGTAATGAGACAGACAACCAGGAATGAGATAGAACAGAGAGAGTAAAGACAGGGGGCCAGCAGTTTCATCCACTGAAGGACCTCCAGTCACGCCTCTCTGTGTATTTATTGATAATTAGAGAATCATAAAGAGAATTTTCTCGTAAATGAAGCCAAATTTTCTCTATTGTCAACCTAATGCTTTAGCTCAGGAAGAAAGTATTTCACACGTATTAACTCTCCTTCTGTAGGGGGGCCCATAGCGGTCTGTCCCTTGTCTGCAGGAAACAGCTCATTTTTCTGTGATCTGTCACAGGAAAAATCCTAACTTATAATTTTGTAATTCCTTCAATTCCTGAACAAGCATATGGTTTTTCATATGTTTGGTATGAAATTTGGCTTCCCATATTAACCATCTAGAATGTTAACATGTAAGTCTTCTTACTGAGGTAGGAGGAGCCCATCCTTGGAAAAAAAGGCATGAGTATTTCTGGTTGGATTCTGGTTGGATGTCTTCTGGGAAACAGCTCTAAAAGTGTGAGGGTTGAACTGACTGATGAGTTTGGAGCAATGTTTAATTTTGACCCTTCGTTCAAGGTGACACTAACCCACAGCTGACCCTCCAGAGGGTTTTCAGAGGCAATAAATCACACAGGAGGAGATTGCCCATCTTTCTCCCTTCGAGCAGCAGGTGGTTTCGAACCACTTGCCTTTGGGTCAGCAGAGCAACTCCTTACCACTAGACCACTAGGACTCCCTGGGACAGGTAGAGGCTCAGCAAAGAGAAGAACCTTCAACAAGATAGAGTGATGCCTTGACTGCAACAGTGGGTTTGAGGCAGGCAGAGACGGCAAGGATGGAGTGGGACACAGCAAGGTTCTAGGGTGTCTTTCCTGGCATCACTGTGAATCCTAGCTGATGTGGCAGCACCTAACGGCAAAAACTCAGAACACAGATGTCATCTCACTTACCACTTACCTTGAACCTATTACCAGGAGGGGCCAGTCCTTAGAGAAGGACATCGTGCATTTTTTTTTTAAATTTTATTATTTGTGTGTGTGTACCATCAAATCAGATCTGACTGATACAGGAGGAGATTGTCTCTCCTTCCCCGGCAGAGCATCTGGTGGATTCGAACCATGTGCTTCTGGGATTGCAGTGCAGCTTCTTGCCACTGTGCCACCAGAGCTCCCCTAGACATCGTGATTTTTAACATAGAGGGCCAACACAAAGGAGGACGGCCCTCAACAAGATGCACTGACACGGTGGCCGCGTCAGCAGGCTGAAACATAGCAATGAATATGAGGCTGACACAGGACAAAGAAATATTTCATCTGACACACTTTGGACATGTTGTAAGGAGGGACTGGTCCTTGGAGAGGGACATGATGCTTGGGAGGGTGGAGAGCCAGTGCAGGAGGGGAAGGCCCTCTATGAGGTAGATTGATTCAGTGACTGGGGTAATCGGGATGGATGTGTCAGAGACAGTGTGATTGGCACAGGACAGAGCAGAGTTTAGGGCTGTTGTACATAGGGTCGCTATGAGTCGCAAGTGACACGACAGCACATAACAACAACAACAACAATTCAGGTTCACAGAGGCAGGCCCTATTGGGGCACCTAACAACAACATCACTAGGATAACATGGAGTGAAAAAAATTAATAATGTCTTTTAAGGTAAAAAGCCACTATGAAACGTCAACACCTTAAACAAATTTTCTGTATTGTATTGTTGTTTGGCACGGTCAAAAGAGTTCCAACACACAACGACCCTATAAAACAGAGTATGCCTCAGGGGTTTCCAGTCTGGTGCCGTGGGTTCTGTGCGGTGCCCCTATCCAGAGTCCAGTGGCTTGCTCAGTGGCTCCACCACCAGCTGCTCTGTGTAGAAAGATGGACAGTCTCTTCCTGTAAAGATTCACAACCTCAGAGGGTTGCCAGAAGTTGGAATCGACTCAAGGAAAGTCCGTTTGTTGGTTTATTTGTCTTTACCATTTACGGAAGCCAGCTGCCACTTCTCAAACCACCAACCTGTGAGTTAGCTGATGAGGGCTTGACCCTGCCACCAGGGCCCTTTAAGCTGGCATGAGAACTCACTTCTCTAGCTTGTGGTCCAGTGTATTCCTAACATAGGACCTTGGAATCTCTTTCTCTCCCTCTTTGCAACAGTACGTGAAAGCCAAGTGCCCCAAAGCTTTCCTGCCCCCTCTCTACGCCCTTGAGCTGCTGACCATCTATGTGTGGGAAATGGGTACCGAGGAGAATGAGTATTTCCGGTTGGATGAAGGCTTCACCAGTGTGATGGAACTGCTCCAGGCCTATGAGTTCATCTGCATCTACTGGACCAAGTACTACGGCTTCCAGAACCCCGTCATTGAGACCTTTGTCAGGAATCAGCTCAAGAAGGAGAGGTACTGACCCGTGGTTTGCCCACCAGGTCTCTCTCAGAAGAGACACCAATGGAAGGGTGGTGTGGAACTTAATGAGTAGGCTTTATCGGGCAGTGGAATCCCTGGGGGATGCAAACACTTAAGCATTCAGCTGCTAGCAGAACTTCTCGTCTATCCAGAGGTACCTCGGAAGAAAGCCCTGGTGATCTATTGCTGAAGAGTCAGCCCTGGGAAATCTTACGGGGTGTATTTCCACTCTGAACACACATCCAGTTGCCAGGAGTCAGAATGGACCCAATGGCAACTGGGTGGTTTGGGGCTTTGTATTAAGTAGGGAGGTTGCCATTAAGGAGCCACGGTGGCACTGAGGTTGAAAGCTCAGCTGCGAATTGAAAGGTCGGTGGTTCCAACTCACCAACTGCCCCTGCAAGAGATGTAGCAGTCTGCTTTAGTAAAGATTACAGCACCAGAAGCTCTGTAAGGCAGTTCCCTTCTGCCCGACAGAGTCTTCAAAGACACGTTACAACAATAGCAAAGCTGCAATGTTATCTGAGACATGAAATCTTCTGCTAACGTGTTGATGATGCTGTTAGGTATGCTGTCAAGTCAACTATGATAGCTACACTATGAATAAAGACTCTGAACCCTGCCCTAACCTGTTCCATCCTTATCACCTCTGACGTACCTGATCCCATCGTTACAATCACTGTATCACTCTGTCTCATTGAAGGTCATCTTCTCCTTTGCTGACTCTGTCTTTCTCAGTCCTTTTCCAAGGGCTGACCTCGCTTAACAACATGCCCAAATTATGTGAGACACAGCTTCACCAGCCTTGCCTCCAAGGATGGACTTCTTCCAAAACAGACTAGTACTCTTCTCCAGTACCACAACACAAAGGCATCAATTATTTTTCTGTCGTCTTTATTCATTATCCAGTTTTCAGAGTCCTAAGTGAACACAGCTTTGAACAGATGCACCTTAGTCTTTAAGCTGACATCATTGCTCTTTAGCATTTTGGAGATGTCCTTGACAACAGATTTTCCCCATGCAACTTTTGATTTCTGGACTGCTGGTACGTAGGACTTTTTTATCTCAACTTGGTAGCCTGTCAATATCACCAGGTGTCTTGAGCACTTACTGTGAGCCTTTTTCTCATTCCTCAGACTGCTCACTCCACCCCACTACATAAGCCTTTGTACCCTCAAGAGTCTCTTTTACTAACTTTTAGAAAAAGCATGGTAAAATGGAAAATAATTACAAAGGTGCTAAGAAGACATCCCAGCTCTATTCTTTCCCCTCCACTGTGGGCTTCAGTTCCTCTTCTGTGAGGCACAGGAATAAACCAGTAGCTAAAATGCAAAACTGAAAAAAAAAATGCAAAACTGTTGTGAGGGTTGCAAAAAGCATATGCTAATAGCTGACAGCATTTAGTTGATAGTACATTCAAGGTTTACTCTATGCCTTGATGGCTGTAAAAAAGAGCAGGGACAGCATGGAGAGGGCCGAGTCTGACCTCTGCTAACTCCTAACTCCACTAGGGGGAACTGCCCCCATCAACAGCATCCACCACACAAAACCAAATCCCATGAGGTCAGACATGTCCCCCTGCTCCCACACCTCTTTCTACTAATTCCAGCGCCAATCCTACTGCCCTCCTGGGTCTGAAATCCATTACAATAGCTACACAGACTTCCCAGAAACATATTCACAACTACAGGGTTCATTAGGGAAGTTAACAGGTGACAGTTCAGGTTGGCAACAGGATACAGTTTCTCAGTCAGGACAGGTTCTGATGTGTGCTCGCAGGCTCTTCAACCTGGTGGCTTTAGGCCAGCCTTACAGAGCTCTCTCAGTCCTGGCAATTAAGGCATCTCACACACCAAAAGCCCTAAGTCTTCCAGCAAGCATGGGTGGAGGCCCCTGACTCAGGTTCCGTGGGGCAGCCGTCCCAGGTCTGCTCCATCTCACCTCTAGTTCTCTATTGAGGCTGCTGTTGCTCTTGGGTAGATCCCAGTCTGGCAGGTGCAGGAATCTCTGGCCCCAAAGGACATGTGCTGCTTCCTCTTCATTCTTGATGCTGAGATTCCCAGTGTCTGCCGGTGAAACTATTCAATTTCAGCTTGGTGGGATGGTGAGACTAGTGAATCCCCTTGTACATAGACTAACACGCTGTATCTGTATATGTCCACTCATCCACGTGCAAAGTCAAAGCCAATGGCTAAGAAAGCCATATTGAGCAGTAAAACCCCTGACACCACAGTGGCATGATGGTTAAACACTCAGCTGCTAGCCTAAAGGCTGTTAGTTTGAACCCATCCAGAAGCTCTATGGGAGAAAAACAACTGACAATCGGCTCCTGTAAAGACCAAACCAAACCCAAATCCATTGCTGTCAAGTTCAAGCTCACAAGCTCATAGCAAGGCTGTAAATCTTTATGGGGGGGAGATGCGCTGTCTTTTTCTCACAGAGTGGCTAGTGGATTCAAACTGCTGTCATTATAGTTAACAGCCCAGTACGTTACACACCATGTCACCAGGTCTCCTTCTGTAAAGACTACAGCCTCAGGGAGCTCTGGTGGCCTAGTTGTAAGAAACTGCACTGCAGTCTTGAAGGCATGTGGTTCGAATCCATCAGCTGCTCAGTGGGAGAAAGATGGGCAAACTCCTCTCCTGCGATTAACTGCCTTTGAAAACCCACTGGAGGGTAAGCTGTGGGTTGGTCCTGACTCAATGGTACTCAACAACCAGGAAAAATAAAGAATATTTTAGAGAATTGGTGAAGAAATCATGTTCCTACAACTAGTAAATAGCACAGCCAGGAACTGAACTCAGTTTTACTCTGTCTAGGGAAAGTCATGTTCCTTTCCAAAATGGCTTGCCTCCGGAAACCCTGTGAACAATGCTCAGGCCTTTCGTTTATAGGGTCGCTATGAGTCGTCTATGACTTGACGGCACCAAACAACAATACACAATAAAGGCTCAGACTCTTGTCACCTGGAGAAAAAATATTACAGTCTATAAAACCCTATGAGATGGTTTTACTTTGTCCTTGGGTAACTGAAATTAGTGGCACCCGAGAACAAGCTGTATATTAGAAATTACTCCATTGCCCCTCAGGAGAAGAAGCCAAGGCAGCAAATCCACCTTGCCCCGCCCACATCCCCTTGGCCTAACTTCCTGAACAGACACCTTTGAATTACTCTAGCATGCCTTTTGGGGCCTCGTCCCACTCTCCCAAATCCTGAGCAAAGAGTGTATGCACCCCAAGAAGAATCTTTGGAAATATGGTCTTCAGCCTGCAACTTGCCAGTGATGTTTCAGGACTCTCTTGGACACAGGGACTTGCTGTGACTTCTCCTGGCTTGCAGGCCTCTAACCTGGAAAAGGCCAGGACACCCTCTCCTTGTGTTGCAGGCCCATCATCCTGGATCCGGCCGACCCCACTCATAATGTGGCCGAAGGATACAGATGGGACATTGTCGCTGAGAGGGCCTCCCAGTGCCTGAAACAGGACTGCTGCTACGACACCCAGGACAACCCAGTCCCCAGCTGGAACGTGAAGGTAATGGCTCCTCTCGGGACCATCAGGGACTTAAGCTCAGAATGGGAGAACTGGACAATATTTCCTTATTCACTTTCATGTTGATGGAGCCCACAAAACACTAGCCTCAGACTGAGTTGGAGACCCAATTGCATAACCTATCATTCTCTGAACTTGGGAAAATTCTTTGACTTTCTGACCATCAGGCTCCTTCATCTTTAAATTATGTTCTCTTTCTCATAACCTACCTGAGAATCCATTCCTTTCTCCCAGACAACCTTTGTGTGAGCTGAGCCCACTTAAGTCGATCTGATCAATTGTCTTGTGCCAGCACTGGGTTGGGGTTAGTGATTAAGGCTGCAGATCAGGGCTGATAGTGGTACGGAAATTGAACACTGTCCCTCCCTCAGGAAATACACTGTCTTTTGTCACAGAGCAGGTCTGTAAAACACACATGCATAAAACAAAACCAAAAATCCCAACAAAACAACACCCCGAAAGAATAACCAAAGAAGACACGTAACCCAGAAATCCAAAAGATGTTAAATAATATTATAGTCAAAAAGTCAAAGCTTTTGAGTCAGAATCCACTCATAACTGACCCTCCACAGGGTTTTCAGAGGGACATGTTGTAAGGAGGGACAGGTCCTTGGAGAGGGACGTCGTGCTTGGGAGGGTAGAGAGACAGCGCAGGAGAGGAAGACCCTCAATGAGATGAGTTAATTCAGTCACTGGGGTAATGGGGGTAGACGTGTTAGAGATAGTGAGATTGGCACAGGACAGAGCAGGGTTTAGGGCTGTTGTACACAGGGTCACTGTGAGTCACAGGTGACTCGACAGCACATAACAACAACAATAACAACGATCTTGTGGGAGGAGATAATCCATTTTTCCCCGCTCAGAGCAACTGGTTTGGGGCAGTTCAACTCCTTGCCCACCAGGCCACCAGAGCGGCCTCTGTGATACCAAACGTACTCTGTAGGCAAAGGACATAATAATCCATTGCATCCACATCACGTTTCACAGCTTGTAAAGAGCTGGCACTGTCTCAGTTGATCCTTACAGCAAATTTACAAAGTAGACCAAGTGTCGTGGTTGTTTCTTATCATCATCTTCATCATCATCATCAGCAGCAGCCCCATTTTACAGATGAGGAAACTGAGGCTCAGAGAGGTTAAGTCAGTTAACCCGAGGTCACACTGCGGAGAGCTGGTGGAGCCAGGAGTCACACGGAGGTGCATGTGGGACTCTGGAAATGGAGAAGAAATGTCTTCTGATTTTGCCAGAGAAGAGAGATAGGAAAAAGAAAGATTGATTATGGGTTAGTTTCTAAAACCTGGGAAGGAGTGGAGACACTCAGAACAGAGGGCTGTCATGACGTGAGGGCAGCGAGGGCAAAGGCCTGGGGTCAGAATAAGCATGATGGGTGCAGGGACCACTGACTGACCTACTTGGAGATGAATGCAGGCAGCAACTGGCCCAGAGATGCTACGATATGGTTACCAAGGAATCCAGCCTGAGGACCCACCAGCCAAGCTGCAAAGTGAATGCACCAGATTTTTTCTTGTGCAATGATTTTTTTTGCCCCCCTCCCCTGGAAAAATCTGAAGACTTGGCCATGCTGAGTCCATATCCTAGAACAGACCCCCTAGAGGTCCCGCTGTCCCCAGGCCTCCTGGTGGAGTCAGGTGCTTGTGTGCGCCTTCTAGTGGCCGCGCAAGGCCCAGCCTCGGCCCTGAGCCCCACTTGATTCCACCCCAGCTCAGTAAAGGGCTATGCACTGCAATTCCCTAGCTCTAAAAAGACGTATTTTATTTCTGCAGTCAGAGATAAAAGGTGGTAAGGGTGAGAATGGCACCTGGCACAGGGCTTGGAAGGTGGTTGTGTTTTGTGATGCTCAGTAAATTACTTAACGCTGCTGCTGCTGCTGTTGTTGTTGTTGTTGTTGTTATGTACCCTGAATGAACTCATAACTGACCTTCCAGGGGGGTTTCAGAGGCAGTAAATCACACAGATTGGGCAGGGGAGGTTGCCCATCTTTCTCCCACAGAGCAGCTGGTGGATTCGAACTGGGTGGCTTTGGGTTGGCAGCTCAGCTCCTTCCCACTTAAGCCACTAGTGCTCTGTTCCTTAGTCCTGCTGAACCACAGTTCCCTCATCTGTAACAGCGTGTGAGACAGAGAGCTGTGGACTTAACCCTCTCCTTCTCTCTCTCGGATCCAGAGGGCACGAGACATCCAGGTGACGGTGGAACAGGACAGTTACGTAGACCTGACCCTCTGGGCTGACCCCTACGAGCCTATATGGAAAATTATGAAGAAGATCTGTCAGAGGCAGGGCCACTCGGGATCACTGCGTCTGTCCTTCCAGGAGCCCGGCGGCGAACGGCAGCTGCTCAGTGGTCACCGCTCCCTGGCCTCTTACGGGCTCTTCTCCAGGCTCCGCATCTATCTGCTGGAGACCTTCTACTCTGAGATACAAGTCTTTGTGAAGAATCCGGATGGTGAGAGCCATGCCTACGCCATCAATCCCAACAGCATCACCCTGGACCTGAAGGACCAGATTCAAGACAAGCTGGGGATGCCCAGAGAGCAACAGCAGCTCATGTTAAGAGGCCAGATCCTGCAGAATTGGTTGTATTTGACGTCCTATGGTCTTAGAGACAGTGACACCCTCATTCTCTCCAGGACCAGAGAGAATCTGCTTCCACTCATCTAGTGGCCTCTGGGAAACTTCTCAGTGTCTCTAATCTCCCATAGAATCCAGAACTCATCCTACCCACCACTCATCCTGGCTCTTGACAAAGAGTCTGGTGGTCCAAACGAACCACAGCCAAACACAGTGACACCTGCATGCTGGAAATCAATGGAGCTGTCTCGTTTTTCTGAATCTCATCACCTTTGACAGTGCCGTCTTAGCACTTTTCTGTTGCTTGTTTCAGCAGGTAATGTTTTCAATTCCTTACACAGTGTCTGAGTTTGCAGGTTTTACTGTGGGACTGTAGAACTCTGGACCACAGGCTCTGAAGTGACCCATCTGTGCAGCCAAACCACCGTCTCTGTGGTTGGCAGGAACTGCTGGCTTCTCTGATCCTTCGCCCACTCTCAACCTAATGCAGATGGCTCCAGCATTCATCTCTGAGAACACAGGTGGGGTAGGGACCCCTAGTGGCTTAGTGACCTTGGCAACCTAGCCATGTGGTTCAAATCCACTAGCTGCTCCATGGGAGAAAGATGGGCAGACTCCTCTGACTTGATGGTACGTAACAGCAAGGTGGCACAGGACAGGGCAAGGGTTAGAGCTGTTGTTCAGAGGGTCGCTGTGAGTCAGAGTCAGCTCCATCACACCTGACAACATCCTGACCGAGAAGGCCAATCACGCTCCCCACCCACCTGCCCAGCCAATCATTTGGAAGCTCGACTGGAGCCTCCCTGGAGGGACCACTTTTTCCACCATGAAGCTTTGTCACTCCCCTGCCTGCTTTAAAGGGAGCTCTGGTGACCCAAAGACACAAGATTTGAATCTGGGGGAGAAAGACGAGCCGTCTTCCCCAGTGTGACGGGAGCTTCAAGGGTACCCAGCACCTGCCTGCTTTGGGTCTCCTCTGAAGGTGGAGGAGGGTGGCCAGCCCGCTTGCTCTGAATAAATAGCTTGTACTTACTCTCACTTGGGTGGTCTCCATTACCTCTGCAAGTGCCAGTGCTGTCCTTGTGGGTGTTGTTTAGTTGTTTGACTGTCTCAACACTGAGAAGTGAAGAATGATGGAAAACTGAGGCAGAGTCTGGGGGCGAGGACAATCCAGTGGAACTGGAAGAGAACAGCGGGCATCCCTGGTGCAGACAGTTCAGTGTTTGGCTGTGACCCAAGAGGTTGGTGGTTCAGACCCACCCAGGAGTCCCTCTGGGGCGCCTCAGAAGAAAGGCCTGGTGATCTGCTTCCGGAAGGTGAGAACTGTGGATGCCCTGTTATCACAGTCCTACCCTGACACACGTGGGGTCAGCAGGAGTCAAAATCAACTGGAAGACAACAAGAAGGAAATCACAGCATTGTCATTATGAACAGTCTCAGGTGACCCACCAGGTTTACTCCAATCACTCAATAAAAAGCCACCTTTTCCTCCTCCCACGTGCCCTGCTTCCTTGAGGCCCAATCACTTTCATCGCATCTAAAATGCACTTTATTCTAAGCAGCTTCTAGGCAATTTGCCAGTTATTCTACATACTTCCCCTGCTCTTTTTGCTTTTGAGAGAGAAGGAAAGCCTCCTTCCCACAAAGCCAGCAGGTGAGTCCAGCCCCAAGTCTGTGTCCTTCAGACCACAATGGGTGGGCAGGGGGAAAGATTCTTGTTCCCAAAGGGATGAGTCGGTCACCTTCATGTCCTTCAGAATATCAAAGTCTGAGGCCAGAGAGCTTATTTCAGCAAAGTCTGTGACACTCTTAGTCTCAAAGATAAGCAGTGAATGGGGAGAAGCTTTCTAAAGAAAAGATGATTTTGTTTAATTAGAAAGTCTAAAACCAAGCCGACAACCATCAGGTCAGATTCCAGCACACAGTCGTGCTTTCAGGGACTTTTGGTGGCCTAGTGCGTCAAGAGTGGTGCTGCCAACCCAAAGGCTCATGGTTCAACTCCACCACCTGCTCTGAGGGAGAAAGATGGGCAGTCTCTTCTCGTGCAATTTACAGCTTCTGCTGGAGGGTCAGCTATGAGTCAGGTCCAACTTGACAGGACATAGCATAAATGCCCCAAGGGGTTTCCAAGGATGTACATTTTCACAGAAGCAAGCTCCCACATTTCTCCTGCAGATCAGCTGGGGAGCTCAAACTCCCCACCTCTCGGTTTGTAAACAAGCGCTTTAGCCACTGTACAACCAGGGCACCTTAACTACAGAGATCCCAAGTGTTGGTCCTGGATGAACCCTGAGACCAAGTATTGTTGAAAAATCTCCTTACCCACTACTGTCCAGTTGATTTCAACCCTCTGTTTGCTTTCTGAAGCTGTAATTATTTTATGGGAGGAGACTGCCCATCACTCTCCTACAGACAGACTGGTGGTGGATTCAAACCACAAACCTCTGGTTAGCAGCCAAGCACATTAATCACCCTACCACCAGGAATCCTTTAGATGAGATTAGACACTTACTGTCGGTGGGTTTGGTTCCAAATCAAAGCAATCTTGCCTCATTGTTTCCAAGATTGAAAGTCACAATAGGAAGAAATGGCTAAAAACTGCAAACCGTTTGTACCCCTTGGAATCTCTGGAGCAGCAAGACCATTGCATGTCAGAGGGAATATAGATTCCTAGGTCCCACGTCTTACAGATTCTGTTTCTGTCTGTTTTCACTGACGCCCTGGAATCTTCATTGATGACAAGTTCACCAAGGTGTTTCTAATCAATTGAGGACTAGAGTTAAATAAGGGAGCTCTGGTGGCTTACTGGTAAGAAGTTGTGCTGCCAACCAAAAGGCTCATGGTTTGGATCCACTGCTGCTCTGTGGGAGACAGATGGGCAGGCACATCCCATACAATCCACAGTCTCTGAAAATCTAATGGTTTTTAGACAGGCTGTGAGCTATCCAGCAAGTGGATCAGACACACCTTAGCTTAAAACTGACATTCTGGCTCTAATTTAGCCAGAGGTCCTTGACAGATATGTCCAATGCAGCCATGCCTCCCGATCACTGATGCCTTCTGATCACAGCATGCCTCCAGATACATATACTATGTATAGCAGGAAAATGTGATCATTTAATCTGTGACATTTGGAATCAGGAAGATCTGGATTTGAATGACAGACAGCTCGTCCACAAATTTATTGTTACCAAGGTGCACCTCATCTCCGTTATGCAGATGACACAACCCTGCTTGCTGAAACTGAGGAGGACCTCATGCACTTGCTGCGAAGGGTCAAGGACTGCAGCCTTCAGTATGGACTAAGGCTCAATGTCAAGAAGACAAAGATTCTCGCCACTGGGCCAATTGGCAGCATCAGGATGGATGACGAAGAGATTGAGAGTGTTCACAGCTTCAGTTTGCTCGGCTCCACAGTCAACACTCTTGGCACCAGCAGTCAGGAAATCAAAAAGCGTATCGCAATGGGAAAGTCTGCTGTTAGGGACCTCTCTAAGGTACTCAGGAGCAACAGTGTCTCTCTGGAGACTAAGGTGCACCTGATACAGGCCATGGTATTTGCAATTGCTTGTTATGCATCAGAGAGTTGGACAATGACTAGGGAGGACAGGAGAGTGGATGCTTTTGAGCTGTGGTGCTGGAGAAGGGTACTGAATGTACCCTGGACTGCCAGGAAAACAAACAGATTTATCTTGGAGAGGATTAAACCAAGCTACTCCTTGGAGGCAAGGATTCTGGGGCTTCGTCTGACATACTTCGGACATGTTGCCAGGAGGGACGGGTCCTTGGAGAGGGACATCATGCTTGGGAGGGTGGAGGGACAACGCAAGAGGGGAAGACCCTCTATGAGATGGATTGATTCGGTGACTGGGGTAATCGGGATGGGTGTGTCAGAGGCGGTGCGGTTGGCGCAGGATAGAGCAGGGTTTAGGGCTGTTGTGCATAGGGTCGCTATGAGTCGGAAATGACTCGACGGCACATAACAACGACAACAACAAGGTGCACCTCATCCAAGTCATGGTATTTTACATTGATCTGCATGAGACTAAGGTGCACTAGATCCAGGACATGGTCTTCACAATTACTTGCTACGCATTAGAGAACTGGACAGTTACCAAGGATGACAGAAGAAGAATCAAGGCCTTTGAGTTATGGTACTGGAGAAGAGTATTGACCAAACCTTGGACTTCCAAGAGAACAAACAAGCCTGTCTCGGAGAGGGTGAAACCAAGTTTTTCCTTGGAGGCAAAGATTTTGAAACTATCTCACATACTTTGGGCATGTGGCTAGGAGAGACCTGTCCTTGGAGAAGAACATCATGCTTGGAAGGGTGGAGGGTTAGCACAGGAGAGGAAGACCCTAGATGAAATGGATTGACAAAATAACGGGTAATGGGAGTAGGTGTGTCGGAATCAGTGAAACTGGCTCAGGATAGAGCAGGCTTCAGAGCTGTTGTACATAGGGTCGCTATGAGTTGCTGGTGAATCAATGACCCGTAACAACAACATGCATCTGAAATTTGTGTTCAGTGAATAAAGAAGACTGAAGAAGAATCCATGCCGTGGAATTGTAGTGTTGAAGAAAGAGTATTGAATATACCAGGGACTGCTAAAAGAACAAACAGATCTATTTTAGAGGAAGTGCAACTAGGGTGCACTTAGTTGGACATATCGTCAGGAGGCGCCAATCTTTTGGAAAACATCATGCGTGGAAAACTGAGGGTCAGCGAAACAGATAAAGCCCCTTAATGAGACAGACTGGCACAGTCAGTAACTGCAACAATGTGCTTTAGCATGGCGGTAATCCCGAGGATGGCACAGGACAGGGCAAGATTCTGATCTACTGTTCATAGGGTGTCTATGAGACGTAATCAACTCTAAACCACCTAAAAGCAATAGGTTATTTTCTTGCGGAGCCTTGGGGTATGAGAGATGAACAAAACTAGAAAACGAGGTTTTCTTCATCTCTCATAGAAAAAACATCAGAGAGTTGGACAATGACTAAGGAGGATAGAAGGAGAATTGACGTCTTTGAGCTGTGGTCCTGGAGAAAAGTATTGAATGTACCCTGGACTGCCAAGAAAACAAACA